AAAAAACGTTGCTATCTCAAATGATGCGTCGAAAAACAAATTAGATTTGAATGACTGGAAAACGCATCAACTGTAATCTAAGTCCTTTATATATTCTCGTAGGACTTAAACAAACTCTTTTGAACTTGATTTTAGGATTCTTTTCATAAGATGATGCACAAATAGATAGTATGTAGCGTAAGGTCGCCATCCACCGCTGACGTAGTCTCCCGTCATCACTCAATGTAAATTTATTTTCTCTTAACTTAGGTACTCATTGTATCAAATGATGATCAATTATATTACTGGTATTCATTGTTATTATACTATTAGTATTTGTAATTGTATGTAAATAATTATAATACGTATGTAGTGAGCGTTGAAGGGAGCATGAGCGGTGAATGGCGACCTTACGTTATGTAGGTAGTAAACACCGTTCATCCCCATTGTTAAGTCCGAGATATTCTCAATAAAACTACGAATTTAATCGCGAAATACAAAATGCGTCTTTATTCGCGTTGCGTCACATACACTCTCCTCCTCATCCTATTCTTCTTCTTCTTCTTCTTCTTCTTCTTCTTCCTTTTTTCCCTTCCCTCGAGGGATCCACCAGTGCTAATACACGGTTGTTTAATCGAACACAACAATTTCCCTTTTCTGCAAGTTGATTCATTACTCCGGAATTCGGTTTACATCGAGTATTTAATCTTCAAATCTCAGTGGCCTTCTAATTCTGCGCCTCAGCTTTAAGGAGGTTGGCTCCTCTGTTGGAAAACCTGTAGAATTGTTGGGACTCCCCAAGTTGCTTCCTGGTCTTGGTGATTCACGTTGTTGTTCTGGAGGAGTAGTCCACTCAAACGCCTCGTCGTTATCCTTTTCAACAGCTTGATCCGCTTCAGCTTCAACTTCAATTCCATCATGACCCTGGATCTTCTTCAGATGAGTTGAGTTACGCCGATATTTCTCGCCTGTAGGTGTTTCAACAAGAACAGAATTTCCTTGCTTTTGGACAATTCTTGCAGGTTCCGGATGAAAATTAACCGCCAACTTATTAGCAGGGTTCAAGTTATTCATTAGGACTAGATCACCGATTTCAAGATTTGAATTTCTTGCTGCTTTTTTCCCATCGTAGTATGCCTTAGAGTTGAACTTTGACAATTTGACAGTTTTTACAGCATTCTCCACATCCTTATCCATCGACGGCCACCACACTTTTGACCGTAGACGCTGTTTTGTACGCTCAATCCCCGGATGACCAATATGGGCCAGGCGTAAAACACGTTTATGAAGGCTTAGTGGTACCACCAAACGCTCACCTCGTAGAACCATTTCACCACAACAGTAGAACTCATCCTTGAAGGGAGTATATTTCTTAACTGCATCACTCCATTGACCCGTACGAATTGCTTCTCTGACCTCTGCTAATGTTGAGTCATTCTCCGTGTGCTTGGACAGCTCTTCAATGGGCAAAACTACAGGTTTCGCAGTTTCCATGATGTTTAATATAGTTTCTTCTCCAACACAATCGTAAGTGTTAACTTTTCCAGGTATGTGGACAATTTGGAAACGGAACGACTGCAGCCTCATTGCCCATCTTTCGATCCTCGGACAAGAAATGTGCCCCGGTACAAAAATTACTTTGAGCGGCTCATGGTCCGTTAACAGCAAAAACTCCATTCCTCTGAGGTAGATATGTAGTAGTTCACTTGCCCAGACCAACGCCAAGGCCTCCTTCTCGTTTAGAGCATACGATTTTTCAGCATCAGACAACCCTTTGCTGATATAACATATCACCTTTTTTACACCACCTTTCTCTTGCAAAAGAACACCTCCAAGGCCCGTTGGACTGGCGTCCGCAATCAAGACCGTCTTGTCGTGTGGAAAGTAGTATCACAAACGAAGTGACAGACGGAGCGGCTCGAAAACTTTGGTGACTAACCTGCTATTTCAATTTTTAGTGTACCACATGGCAACACCACTACTACTGGATTGTACCACATGGCAACACTACCATAGAGGTAACTCTAAGACCACTGGGTCCCGAAGAAAATCATTATTATTTTTGGCTCACTCAGTACCAGAACAACGGTCCCAAGCAGTCCCAAGCTATTTCACTCACCCCTGCATGTTCTGCATGAATCCACACACCCCTGATGTTATCTGTCAAACTTTCATAGCGATTAAAAACAAACATAGTGTAGTAATAGAATTTCAACTAGAATAGGGTACGTTAATCGTTTGCTTGGGACCAATAGGCTACTAAAGTGGTGAGCCAATTTAAAATCGTTAGTTTCGTATTGATTGTTGGTAGTAGTGTCAACAATCAATACGAAACTAACGATTTTAAATTGGCTCACCACTTTAGTAGCCTATTGGTCCCAAGCAAACGATTAACGTACCCTATTCTAGTTGAAATTCTATTACTACACTATGTTTGTTTTGATTCGCTATGAAAGTTTGACAGATAACATCAGGGGTGTGTGGATTCATGCAGAACATGCAGGGGTGAGTGAAATAGCTTGGGACTGCTTGGGACCGTTGTTCTGGTACTGAGTGAGCCAAAAATATTAATGATTTTCTTCGGGACCCAGTGGTCTTAGAGTTACCTCTATGCTACTACTGGATTGTACTAGCATTTTCACCAAATGTATTAGAATGTTTTGTTTCTATCTCTTTCACTCTACTTAAAACTGAAATGCATAAAAAGATGACAAAATAACACACTATCTTTGCACATTATACACAAAATCAACTTTGTTCAAATCAAAACAAAAAAACTAACCCAACTGGATGATGATGGCACAAGGTTCCAAGAAAATTCTATTACAGTGAACCACATTATTTTAATGGATTTCTTCGCCAGTTAGTCGTCTGTCACTTCGTCTGTGGTAGTATCCCAGCGACTTCGGTTTCATTAATATGTCTTTAATTTTCTGAAACGCGATCTTTTGCTGCATACCCCATAAGAACTTAGAGTCCTTCCGCAAAACCTCACGAATTGGAGTAGTTAATGTTGACAGATCCGGTGTCTGCGAGCAGCAAACTACGGATGCAGCCAACCGCACTGACTAAGTTTAGGTACTCCACGGTGCTAAAAATCGGTTGAGTGTGGTGGCTAGTGGTAGTGAACCGATTCGCCGTGGTCACTCACTACTACGCACGAACTGCACAGAGAAGGAGAGAGTTTCTCGCCGAAGAATGTGGGAAGTAGAATTATGCGATAGAAATGTAAATAGAGGAAATTAATTAGTCTAAAAGGTACACCGTCGCGAGTAGCCGACCGGGGGCGAACCCCGTACGAAATTATTGTTTAGTTTTAGTAAGAATAAATGTAGTGTTGTTGTTAATAAAATCAATGTAGTGTTCTTGTAATAAACAGTATTTTGTGGATAAGACGTGTTGTGTTCTGCATGCGAGAATAAGGGATTGGCCTACGGATGACGAAGGATTTGGCTCGGGATTTGGTTGGAGCAAGGAAGGATACGGACTGGAATGAAAAGTTCAAGGGCAAGTAGAAGTCACCATCAATCGGTCGGGACGGTCCCCGACATAAATTGGTCCTTCGAGCCGGATTTCTACTGCCGGTGGACTTTGGATCGGCCAAATCTCTACGATTTGACCAAGGTACGATCGAAGTGCGCCATCGTACGAGCACCAAACCGCCAGCCTCGTATGCCACAAAAGACCAATCGCCATCCTTGAAGTGGATCAAAGGATTCGATCGCCATCGTCAATTACGTGAAAGGATCTGTTGCAACCAAACAACATCACCTATTATCCTACATCGGGAAACCCACCATCGCTGAAAATCATCGACTAGCTGTGGAACAGAGAGGAAGGTCGCCATCGTCCTTCAACAGAATCGTCTCCAGCTAGTGCAACCAGTTTTCATAAGTGGATATTGGCTCTACTCGGACACTTTCGACAACCATCAGGATTGTAGGACAACCAGAGCGTTGTTCTGCTACCACTCAGGTATGTAAGAACTGGTATATGTCCGCCGAAGTGACAAAATTTCTCAACTAACACCCACATTTCGACTTGTGTTATTGTTGGCGAATCGACGAGTACTTACGGACGTCGAAGTGGTGAATCAGTTCTCGAAGAACTTGGTTTCGGGCACCATTCGAGGAATTCGGAGGCGATTGAGGACGGTCGACGACGATTCTGGTGCTACTTCCTTATGACCAGACAATAGACGGCATCACATCACGATTTCAGGCTCGGGCATCGTGCAACGGTCATCTTGACCAGGTAAATACATAAATACAGTATATGCCCGGCTGAAGCTGGAATTTATTGATCCTACACCTAATAAATATTCAACCTTTCGATGCTATGTGGACTATTGGAGTCAATTCATTCACGAACGCAAGCCCTGAGGTTTTGTTTTGTTTTCGGACTGCTACTTTGCACACTGCGTGACGTTCAGCACCATCTGTAGTTCTCCAGGTGAGAATAAGTATATGTCCTGCCAAAGCAGGCTCTCTTGTGATACTACATTGGTACATTTCTCCTTCGCTGCACTGGATTTCGATACGATCTACCGACTTGTTACCGTAAGGCTTTACATCTTCGTGGTTCGAAAGGATAGTTATCGTGATTTGAGGCAATTTGGATTCGGCTGTCAGCACAAACTGTCGTTTGCACAGGTAAGCCGAACGGTATATGTTCAGCCGAAGCTCAAATATTGGTTACTACATTCGCTTTTCCACTCCTTCGCTCTTCACTGGCTCGAATTGGAATACCGAGATTCCTGATCAAACGTTTTGAGGTGTACAGTTTTGGAATTTACTGCTATCTGGCTTCGGTAGCACCACTGGTTCTTCTCACAGGTGAGTTGAACAGTATATGTCCAGCCGAAGCAGACAATTTGCATACTACATCGCCGATTCCTTTCGATTCTCGGATCTTTCAACGTTTCGCCAAACATCTCGTGGAGCAACGCATCACTAGTACCTATCAACTTACGACTGGCTCTTGGTTCTTCGTTTCCGTACCGTGATTCTCCAACAACAACCATGTCAACGAAGATTACCAGGTCAACCGACTCCTTGAAGGTGTTGAAGTCAAAACTCAAGGGTCTTCGAGCGTCGTTAAACAACATTAGTCAGTTCGTTAGGTATTATAAAGAGGGTACAACAGCTAGTCAGGTCAATGTCCGCCTCGAACGTATAGATTTGTTGTGGGAGCAAATTAGTGAGACTTCTTGGGAAATCGAATCGCATGAGGACTACGAAGAGCAAGAAGGTGTCGAAAATGAGCAATTTGAGTTCGAGAATCGCTACTACGATGCGAAATCGTTCTTGATGGAGAAGGCCATGAAGTTCCAGGAAGAATCAGCACTAAATCAGTCAACACGGAGTGCGGACGCCGCCAGTACACATGGTACAATGGACCGTGTACGCCTGCCGCAAATCAAGCTGCAGACTTTCGACGGAGACATCGATGACTGGCTGAGCTTCAGGGATCTCTACACGTCCTTGATCCATGAGAAGCCAGAACTTCCGGATGTGGAGAAATTTCACTATTTGAAAGGTTGCTTAGCAGGCGAAGCTAGGGCGCTAGTCGATCCGCTAAAGATAACTAGCGTCAATTATAAAATTGCTTGGGAGTCGTTGCTAAAACGTTTCAACAACAGTAAGCTACTAAAGAGGAAACAGGTACAAGCGCTGGTCAAACTACCTTCACTTGCCAAGGAATCGGTTACAGATCTCCACAGATTGGCTGATGGATTCGACCGTGCGATTCAGATATTGGATCAAGTAATCGAACCAGCCGAATACAAGGATTTGCTGCTGGTAGAATTGCTGAGTTCTCGTCTGGATCCAGTCACTCGACGTTTCTGGGAGGAACACACGTCCGCTAAGGAGCAAGACACTCTACAGGACTTGCAGGAGTTCCTACATCGGAGAATTCAAATCCTGGAGTCTCTACCAGCGAAGGCAGAACCCAAAAACGAGCCACAACAACCCAGACGGAAGTCGTTTTCACCGAAGGTTAGCCACAACGCCGTACAGTGGAACACCGCTAAGTGCCCATCGTGTACGGAGGTTCATGGACTACATACATGTCCAGCCTTCCTGAAAATGTCGCTGTCCAGCAGGGAGTCGTTTCTACGAGCACAGTCACTCTGCCGAAACTGTCTCAAACGAGGACATCTAGCTCGAGATTGCTCGTCGAAGTTTTCGTGTCGCAACTGCAAGGCTCGACACCACACACTGCTGTGCTTCAAGGGCGAAGGAAGAAGCAGTAGGAATGGATCACCCGAGAAGGCCAATTCGGGTAAAACTGGCAACCGGAACGACTCGAGTTTTGATCCCAAGGCAGCGAATGCAGCATCGGTCGAGACAGCATCGTCAAACACGGCGCAGCTTCTGACATCGCAGGTACTTCTGGCTACGGCAGTAGTTGTAATCGAGGACAACCAGGGTTCTCGCTATCCGGCACGCGCGCTATTAGATTCCGGGTCGGAATGCAACTTCATCTCTGAAGGTCTGAGTCAGTTGATGAAGGTTGCTAGCCAGAAGGTGGATATTTCGATATTGGGCATCGGACAATCCGGAACGAGGGTCACACGAAAGATTCAAGCCGTCGTCAAGTCTCGAGTCTCGTCGTACTCTAGACCGATGGATTTTCTCGTCTTGCCGAAGGTCACAGCTTGTCTGCCCACTTCTACAGTGCAGGCAAATGGATGGGACATACCGGCAGACATCGAACTTGCAGATCCTGAATTCTTCCGCTCGAGAAAGGTCGACTTGGTCATGGGCATCCAAGCTTTCTTCAGCTTCTTCCCATCCGGAAGGGAGATTCCGCTGGGAACCGGTCTGCCAGTACTCACCGAGTCAGTTTTCGGATGGATAGTGACAGGCGAGGTCGCTACATCAAATCATGGTGTGAGATATTCATGCAACATGTCGGTATCGAGCAATCTGGAGGAGCTAATGACACGGTTTTGGTCCTGCGAGGAAGTGGGAGCCGTCAACAAGTTATCTCCGGACGAGACGCGCTGCGAAGAGCAATTCGAGCGCACTGTCGAACGGAATTCGGAAGGCCGATACACCGTTACTCTCCCTAAGAACGACAATGTTTTAGCGGAACTAGGCGAATCGAGAGACATCGCGCTACGACGTCTTCGAGCTGTGGAACGACGATTGGAAAAGGATCCAGACCTTCAGAAGCAGTACTTCAACTTCATGACCGAATATCTCGAGCTCGGTCACATGAGAAGAGTGGACGATAAAGAGGAGGGGACAGTTAAACGATGTTTCCTGCCACATCATCCTGTAATCAAGGAGTCAAGCACCACGACCAAAGTCAGGGTGGTCTTCGATGCTTCGTGCAAGACGTCTTCTGGGATTTCACTGAACGATGCGCTCTATGCTGGACCTGTGGTACAACAGGATTTACGGTCGATTGTTCTCCGCAGTCGTACACGTCAGGTGATGGTTGTAGCCGACGTTGAGAAGATGTTCCGACAGATTTGGACGAACTTGATCGACACTCCTCTTCAATGCGTTCTTTGGTTGGGAACGGATGGAAGCGTTGTAGCGTATGAACTGCTGACGGTGACATATGGCACCAAATCAGCACCGTACCTGGCGACTCGTACGTTGAAGCAGCTGGCAAGTGACGAACGAGAGCAGTTTCCCTTGGCTGCACCAGCGGTAGAAAAGGACGTGTATATGGACGACGTTATATCTGGAGCGGACGACGTCGAATCTGCGGTCGAATTGAGGCGACAAATCGACGCAATGATGAACAGTGGAGGATTCAAGTTGCGAAAATGGGCCTCCAACTGTCCAGCTGTTCTTGAAGACATTCCCAAGGAGAATTTGGCGCTACCGGATTCTAATGGGATCGACTGGGACCAGGATGCAGAGGTGAAAACATTGGGTTTGACCTGGCTTCCCAACGTGGACTGTTTCAAGTTCTCGTTCACAATACCACCACTAACGGATGGCCAGATCCTAACGAAGCGACAAGTGCTCTGCTTCATTGCGAAATTGTTCGATCCACTGGGACTGCTCGGTGCGACGATCACAGCAGCAAAAATATTCATGCAAAGACTCTGGTGTTTGAAAGGCGAACACGGGCAATGTCTGCAATGGGACGACCCACTACCTGGAACGGTTGGTGAGGAATGGCGAGCATTTCATAAGCAAATTCCCGCACTGAATATGCTTCGCATACAACGGTGTGTCGTAGCACCAAGAGCGGTGTCCGTGCAATACCACTGCTTCTCAGATGCATCAATTCTCGCTTACGGTGCGACAATCTACGTTCGGAGTGAACGACAAGATGGTTCGATTTCGGTGCACCTTCTGATTTCTAAATCGAAGGTAGCACCTCTCAAGGTGCAATCGCTACCACGGTTGGAGCTATGTGGTGCGCTTCTAGCGGCTCAGCTTTGGGAAAGGGTAGTGGAATCTCTGAAGGCAGACGGCAGCGTTCACTTCTGGTCGGACTCAACCTGTGTTCTCCACTGGATTCGTTCTCCTCCAGGTACGTGGACCACTTTCGTGGCGAACAGGGTCGCCAAAATTCAAGCGCTGACAGAGGGAAACAATTGGCGACATGTTTCGGGAATCACCAATCCTGCTGACCTAATTTCACGCGGAATCGCTCCGAAGGACATTGTCGAGAACAACTTATGGTGGCATGGGCCTACCTGGTTAGAGGATCCTCCTGAAGAATGGCCGAAAGGAGCTGGAAACCCACCAGAAGGAGAATTAGAACGACGACGCAATGTGGTGGTTTGCGCTTCGTCGATGGAAAAGGAGTTCGTTTCGGATTACTTAGTGAAGTTCTCATCGTTTACTAGGCTAATTCGTACAACAGCTTACTGGCTACGCTTCATGGACAACTTACGGTGTCCAGAAGAACAAAGACGGACAGGTTTTCTATCCGCTAGCGAGCTGAAACTAGCCGAATGGGCGATCATCCGGAAGGTGCAAGCGGAGTCATTCTCGGAGGAGATCAAGCATCTGTCGTCAGGTTCTTCTGTTCGTCGAAATTCGCCCTTGCGATGGTTTAACCCTCGAATCGACGAAAACGGCATCCTGCGAGTTGGTGGTAGACTAGCGCACTCTGAGGAATCACAGCAGATGAAACATCCGATGGTTTTACCGGCTAGACATCCATTCACGGAATTAGTTCTACGCTATCATCACCACAAACATCTCCACGCTGGACCCCAACTACTTTTGGGTACGGTTCGGCAACGATATTGGCCACTAGGCGGTAGAAATCTTGCGCGGAAGGTTGTTCGTCAGTGTCAGCGTTGTTTTCGAGCGAGACCGTCGATCATCCAGCAGCAAATGGGCGAGTTACCGGCTGCTAGAGTTACGGTTTCGAGACCGTTTTCCAAGACTGGGGTCGATTTCTTCGGACCAGTATACATTCGAGCAGGACGTGGACGACAACCAACCAAAGCCTACGTTTCGATCTTCGTGTGCATGGCAACGAAAGCGGTTCATATGGAACTCGTGTCAGATTTGTCGACGGAACGGTTTCTACAGGCTTTGCGGAGATTCTTTGCCCGCCGAGGACGATGCACAGATGTCTATTCGGACAACGGGACGAATTTTGTAGGAGCAAGAAACCAGATCCAGGAGCTATTCGCGATGCTGAAAGATAAAACACATCGTGAGAAGGTGTCTAAGGAATGTGCGGATGAAGGAATTTTTTGGCATTTTAACCCCCCGAGCGCCCCACATTTCGGAGGATTATGGGAGGCAGCGGTACGTTCTGCGAAGTACCACCTTCTACGAGTTCTCGGTGGAAATCCAGTGTCGCAAGAAGATTTCGTCACTCTCTTAGCACAGGTGGAGGGATGCATGAACTCAAGGCCATTAACATCATTATCGGATGATCCTCTTGATCTTGAGCCATTAACACCGGCACACTTCCTGACGGGAGGTTCACTACATGCTATGCCAGATCCAAATTTGAGCGATGTTCAGATGAATCGTCTATCCAGATGGCAATTAGTCCAGCGGCAGCTCCAAGATTTCTGGATACGTTGGCGTCGTGAATATTTAACGCAGCTTCAATCACGAACAAAAAAATTGGCAGCCAGCAGCAGAAATGCAAATCGGCAGACTTGTTGTTATTGTTGACACAAATCAACCACCCACACAATGGAAGATGGGTCGTATACAAGAACTTCACCCAGGTGATGATGGAGTCACTAGAGTGGTTACAGTACGAACATCAACCGGTTCGATGAAACGTCCGGTAGCAAAATTGTGTTTACTACCGTCACCAGAGCAAAACCAAACCTCAGATCAAAATTGAATCGGTGGTCCAGTGCGTCGAAAGGAGTTCTTTTCTTTTCTTTATTTTCAGAAGTTTTCCCGGTAACTTCAGGGTGGGTGAGAATGTCTGCGAGCAGCAAACTACGGATGCAGCCAACCGCACTGACTAAGTTTAGGTACTCCACGGTGCTAAAAATCGGTTGAGTGTGGTGGCTAGTGGTAGTGAACCGATTCGCCGTGGTCACTCACTACTACGCACGAACTGCACAGAGAAGGAGAGAGTTTCTCGCCGAAGAATGTGGGAAGTAGAATTATGCGATAGAAATGTAAATAGAGGAAATTAATTAGTCTAAAAGGTACACCGTCGCGAGTAGCCGACCGGGGGCGAACCCCGTACGAAATTATTGTTTAGTTTTAGTAAGAATAAATGTAGTGTTGTTGTTAATAAAATCAATGTAGTGTTCTTGTAATAAACAGTATTTTGTGGATAAGACGTGTTGTGTTCTGCATGCGAGAATAAGGGATTGGCCTACGGATGACGAAGGATTTGGCTCGGGATTTGGTTGGAGCAAGGAAGGATACGGACTGGAATGAAAAGTTCAAGGGCAAGTAGAAGTCACCATCAATCGGTCGGGACGGTCCCCGACATCCGGTATGAATCTACCAAGATAGGTGATTGTTCCCAGAAAGCTACGCACCTCTTCAACAGTTTCAGGTTCTCGGAGTTTTCTTATCGTTTCCACTTTGTCCAATGTTGGCTTGATTCCTTCCGATGAAAGAATATGTCCCATAAAGGTAGCTTCAGATTTTCCCAGCTGATACTTTTTAGGGTTCACCGTTATTCCGTACTCCTCCAATCGTTCCATGATTTGTCGGAGTGTAATATCATGCTGATGCTTTGTTGTTCCTGACACTAGAATGTCATCAATGAATACTCGTACACCCCTGATTCCTTTTAGAATACGCTCGATAATGCTTTGGAGCACCTCCGACGCACAGTTCATTCCGAAAGTCAACCTTTTATAGCGATAGTATGCCTGGTGCGTAGCAAACGTGGTGATGAATCTTGATTTCTCCGCCAATACTACCTGATGAAACGCTTTGACCAAATCGATTTTGGAAAACCATTTGCAATAAATTGTTCAAATCAGGTACAATATCGTCGAATGTTGGCAGAGGGTGGTGTTGTGGTACTATAGCTTTATTTGCAGCACGCATGTCCACACACAGCCGGACACTAGAAGCATCACCTGCTTTCGGGCTGACGACACGACGAGATATCCATGGTGAATCTCTGGGAGCTGGTTCAATGATATCTTGGTCCAGTAAATGATCGATTTCCCTTGGCACCTTTTCTTGAAGCGGAATTGGGACATGGCACTTCGTATGTTGAACTGCTTTTACGGCACCATTGATCTGAAGTGAATCCTCGAGTGAAACCTCAAATCCCGTTATTTTGCCTATTTTGTTTTCTTCGGCATTCACCTTCTAAACGTCCGTGTTGATATTAGGTTCTGCAGCGTGACGTCACAAATGAACTCAGTGTTAATAGGCTGAACCTTTTTGACAGTTCAGTGGTACTGTTTACAAGCACTTAGTCGTTTTTTCGAAAAAACAAATTCTAAAATTTCCGAATTTTAACTTGAAAATTGTCGAGGAACAGCGCGGTGAAAGGATGTTGCTCGTGGACAATGCAGAAGTGTGGTTTACATCTCACTGCAGTCTGAAAAATTATCGAGAAAATCTACCCAAGAAAAAAACGACTAAGTCCACGTAAACAGTACCACTGAACTGTCATCAGATTGAGGTTAACCCCGACGGTGCAAAACCTAATTGAGGATCCCTAGTTCGGTGGCTGTATCACGAATCAGCAGGCTTGCTCCTTAGTCGTTTACTACTACGACCTCAGCAACTACACTACAATGTTTGGTTGCAATGTCAGCCGTGAATTCTCCGATTACTTGCAAATTGTTGTTTCCGTACGCTTTTAGGGTTCGCTTGGTTTTTTTGGTTTGGAAGAGGACGTCAACCTTCTGTTGCTTCAAATACGACCATGTTTTGCTGTCAATCACATTTACTCCAGCCCCTGAATCGACGATCCACTTGATCTTCACTCCGCCTACGCTGCAAACTACTTTTTCTCCTTGGGTATCATCTATCATCCGTATCCGCTGCAAAAATATACTTCACATCATTTTGAGGCTCCACTGCATCGTTGCTACTGTCATCCGAATCATAAACGCTCTCGGTTCCACCGGATGCTTCCTCACCAACCTGACGGACTCGCCGATTCCTTTGCTTGCTGCGATGGTTTTCACTCTCACGATCTTACAGCAACGCTTGAAATGTCCCATCAGTCCGCATTTTTCGCATCTTTTGTCTTTAGCAGGACAGCATTCATCGTTGGCATAGTGTTCTACGCGGCCACAACGAAAACACCCGTTTTTGGAAATTGAAACCTTGTTGATATCAGCCGAATGCTTCAGCTGCTGACGAACTTTTTCGATTGTCTCGAGAGACCGTCCTTCCTTTATTATCTCTGCCAAGGTCATTCCTGGCTTCGTTAGTATTTTAGCTCGAAGTTCATCTGATGCTCCTTTTTCGAAAATTTGCTCCTTGATGTTCTCCTCAAGGCAATCACCGTACTCACACAAGTTTCCTTGCTCCCTTAAGTAAAGCACAAACCTCGAAATTTTTTCATTGGGTTCCTGTTGCAAATTTCGGAAGATATGGCGCTCCTGCGGCAAGCACTTCATAGGCAGAAAGTGGTCATCCAACACTTTTATAGCCTCCTTGTAGGCATCCGAACCTACAGGTACTTCTTGGTTTCCATCACCAACAAGACTGTCGTATATATCCTGCACACTTTCGCCGGCATAATGTAGCAAGTACGATTTCTTTCTCGACGGAAGTGCCACATTATCCAGCATTTCACGAACAATTATGGCCGCCACAATCTGGCTGAGTTTTTGGTAGGGAACATATGATTTGACGTTTGGGTTGTGTCGTTTGACGTGTAAACGATCAAATTTGATCGTTCAAACGTCAAACGACACAACCCAAACTTCAAATCTTATGTTCCCTACCAGAAAATCAGCTAGATTGTGGCGGCCATAAACGATCGTAAAATATGCCTAAACCCTTTTCCACTCGCTCAGTTAACAGCACACAGGAATTCGCAAGTCAGCTTCAGGCATCAGGAGAGATTCGGGAAGATGAAGTCATGGTTTCATTTGATGTCACAGCACTTTTTCCGAGTGTACCAGTAAAGGAAGCCATCAGCCTTTTAGAGGACTGGCTTCTGAAGCAACGTGAGGATTCTACTTGGAAAAACAAAGTTCGGTCATATCTCAAGCTTACTCGTCTTCGTATGGAGGAAAATTATTTCATTTTCAGAGAAAATTTCTACAAACAAACCAAAGGCGCTCCTATGGGCAATCCGCTTTCTCCATTTTTATGTGAATTGTTCATGGCTAACCTAGAAAATACTCTGGAGGATAGGAATTTGTTGCCCAAATGTTGGTATAGGTACGTGGATGACATCTTTAGCATTGTCAAAAGGGAAGATTTATCAAAAACTTTGGAGGCCATAAGCAACGTTCACAAGGACATCAAATTTACTCACGAAGAAGAGAGAGACGGTAAACTCCCCTTCTTAGATCTTCTCATCATCAGGGAAACGTCTTCGTTCAATTTCGAAATCTATAGGAAACCAACAAACACAAAGAGAGTAATACCAAGCACTTCAAACCATTCCCATCAACACAAAATGGCCGCTTTTCACCACATGGTTCACAGGATGCAAACTCTTCCTCTTAGTGATACAGGCAAATCAAAGGAAATACACTGATAGGCAAAATAAAGTGCCCACCCCATCATTTTTGAAATTTCTCTCATTTATTTGGTTCAAATTCAAATAAACACACCGTAGTCTGTTTCGATGTCTTACCTTTATTATTCTTTTAAAGTTACACCTATGGAATACTGAAAATATAAAGTTTTACTTGAAGTAAAAGAAAATCAATTTGGATTGAAAAAGAAAACAGTGACAAAAAAAAGTGCCCACTTCAAAAATCGGTATGTTTTCGATAAGTTTCCATCGGAAAACCCCTCGATTGTTTTTGTTTTGAAAGTTTGACATGTATTGAAGCAAACGGGTGGAACTGGTGCATTTGTACACGTGATCGCATTTGAATCAGTTGAAAAAAATGGAGGACGTAGTGATTTCGAAAGCAATTCCCGTGTGTATCCGAAAATTGGTTGTTCGTGATGTGCAAAACGGTGAATCGCACCGGTCTGTCGCTAGGAAGTACAATATCAGCAAAACAGCGGTCGGGAAAATTCTGCAGAAAATGAAATCGTTCGGATCAGTGGTGGATCGCCCTGGCAGAGGCAGGATGCGCAAAACGGATGCGAGAACGGACACCAAGATCATGCGTGAAGTGAAGAAGAACCCGAAGGTAACTGTCCGCGAGATCCAGGAGGCTCTTCAGCTAACAGTTTCCAGTCGAACTGTTCGTCGCCGTCTCGTAGCACAGGGGTTGAACAGCAAAGTTGCTCGGAAGCGCCCATTTATCAGCAAGGCAAACAAAGTCAAACGGCTTAAGTTTGCTAAGGAGCATGCTGATAAGCCCCTAGAGTTCTGGAAAACGGTTCTCTGGACGGACGAATCAAAATTCGAACTGTTCAACCGGAAGCGACGGGTTCGTGTGTGGTGTAGATCGGGTGAGGAGCTTCAGGAGCGCCACATACAAGGCACGGTGAAGCATGGAGGAGGAAATGTGATGGTCTGGGGGTGCTTTTCGTGGGGTGGAGTGGGAAGCCTGGTGAAAATCGACGGGATAATGACGGCAGATTCCTACATCGACATCCTGCGGGAAAATCTGGAAGTTTCGCTGATCCAGACGGGCCTTGAGGAGAAATTCGTATTCCAGCAGGACAACGATCCGAAGCATACTGCCAAGAAGACTAAGTCTTTCTTCCGGTCATGTCGAATTAAACCACTGGAATGGCCTCCACAAAGCCCGGACCTCAACCCCATCGAGAATTTGTGGGCGATTCTCGATGCCAGGGTTGACAAAACTGGTGTTACCAATAAAAATAACTATTTTGAAGCCCTGGAGCGCGCCTGGGAAGAACTAGATCCACAGCACCTGAAGAATCTAGTGGAGAGCATGCCGAAGCGCCTGCAGCTGGTCCTGAAGGCCAAAGGAGGACACATTAACTATTAGGCTGGTATTCTTTTACTTTATTTTATGTTTTCTGGAGTTAAAATGCAGTGGGCACTTTTTTTTGTCACTGTTCTTTTTTACACCCATTTTGATTTTTTTTTCTTCGAGTCAGTCTCTTCTTTTTATCTGGTATTCTATAAGTGAAACTTAAAAAGAATATAAAGAATAAGATATAAAAAATACTACAGTGTATTTACTTTAATTTGAACCAAATAAATGAGAGAAATTCAAAAAATGATGGGGTGGGCACTTTATTTTGCCTATCAGTGTAGCTCACATTTTTGAAATCGCTAGACTTAATGGGTATCAAGAAAAAACAATTCAAGCAGTAATCGATAAAAGAACAAGGGATCATTTTAGGCGTATTTCGACAACTCTTACTCCAGTAACTGAGGGTTTAAAACGGGTAGCGGTGAATTTCGACAAAAACATTACCAAACCATTGATTTCAAAGTTTAGAAGTTTTGGCCTCGATTTAGTATTCAGCAGTAGGATAAATCAGCTGAAGTCACTGTTAGGATCAACTAAGGATTCAATAAATGTCTTAGGGAAAGCCGGAGTCTACAAAATCTCTTGTCCAGATTGCAATAAAATCTACATTGGTCAGACGAAAAGGACTTTGGAAACAAGGTTTAAGGAACACATCGCAGAGGTAAAAAAGGCTAACAAAGAGATGGATAAAGGGCTTCATTATGAATTTAAATCCAAGGTTGCAGAACATATCGTTAAAAAGGGGCACAATTTGACTAAGGAAAACATTAATATCCTGCGGACTGTATCTTCACCTTGGAAACTAGACGTAGCCGAAAGTCTAGAAATATTTAAACATAATCCATCAACATTGCTTAATAGAGATCAAGGAAACGGATACTCGAGACTCTTTAGCATGCTACCTAAAACAACACATCGTAGCATGCCTCTACCTGTTGGAGACTGAATTTAGGTACCTGTTTAGGTAAATTTTGACATGGCAGTGGATACCTGCTGATTTTTAGTACCTATTGATTAGTATATAACTCGTAGATTAAAGATGGATTCTTCAGTGGTGTTGAGTACTTGGCACTGATGAAGTCTGCAAGTAGTAGACGAAATACGCGTATCTGTCAAAAGATAAGCAATTATAACGGAATTAAAAGGAAATATACCAACCCACTCAAAGCTCTTCATAAAGGGATTCCGTTAAGAGGTTCGACAAATTTAAAGGAGTAAAATACTGGATTAACATCCAAAAATATCTTGAATGAACGCTTCCACTTTTTCCTCCGGGAACTGACGTTAGTCGTATCGTCTGGATCAAACGGTGGCAATCCAACTCCTACTGGATTCATCTTCGACTCGTTTCGTTGCTGTTTTGCTTTTTGCTGCGCAATTCTCCTTCCTCAAAACTTGCTCGCTGCCCTCTTTCACTTAGAGGAATCACTTATTTTCGATCGCGAATTCAATCACCGAACGTATCACATACATGTCCTCGAAACCCGATCCTCGATCGCCAATGTTAAGTCCGAGATATTCTCAATAATACTACGAATTTAATCGCGGAATAACTTTACTACCTTTCCTTTATTTAACGTCGGTCTCTGTTCCGCAATCTAGTGCCAATCACCGACGGACATCGATTGCCATCCATTGACGGCAATCGAATGTGCAGGAAGGCAGCTTCCACACCTGCGTAGGATATCGCACCCATTCAAACACACATGGGTCGGGACCAACGGCTTTATACTTCCTTTCCGAAGGAAGACGTGACCAGAGATTTTTATGCCTCAGAAAAATCCCACCGACCTCGGCTGGGATTGAACCCAGACCCATTGGGGTGAGAAAGCAGTCACGCTTACCACTACACCACCGGCGCCGGCAATCGCGGAATACAAAATGCGTCTTTATTCGCCTTATTCGCGTTGCGTCACACACACTCTCCTCTTCTTCTTCCTTTTTCCCTTCCCTCGAAGGATCCACCAGTGCTAGTACACGGTTGTTTAATCGAACACAACACCCATTATTGGCAGTAATTTCATGGATACGCTTGGTATTGTAGAGATTGGTAGAACGGGTAGTGCCGTCATGTAGTCTACAAAATTTAACTTTAACTACCCCAAAATGTTAAAACAAAAACATATTCTCATTTTCATTTGTTTGCTTCAAAGCACACATTTTTTTTCCTTATCGGCAAGGCAAATCACGCAAGTAGAAGCAAGCGAAAACATTGATAGCAAGGTCAACGAAACCTTAAAAACACGCGCATGTCTGAAATCGCACATGACCAAACTGTGTACGAGTATTATTGCAACTTAATAATAAAAATTAAATATTTTTACTGAAGATAAGTATATCCTGTGGAATATAGATTCACCCAAGATATGATGTTTAACGAAATCGAAGCTTTATCTCTACCAGCACCCTGGAATATCCCACAGCACATCGTATAGCCAGAAATAGCTACCCACCTCGAAGGTAGACGCCTGTTTGGCTTCGCTTATTGCGTTTTAACTTTTCACGTTTTGTTTATCGTCTGGTTTGACCGGAGCGTCTTTGCTTGTGCACATGTATTATAATAGTCATGAGTACATAAAACGTCCACACATACCTTAAGAGTTCGTGAGACGCCTGTGTATCGAGGGATCATCGTTTGACATACCTACGTATATTGCGGTGTGGTGGACTGCCATGAAGAAAACCAGAAAAATAATAGAATATGGAAATAAAAGTCGTTAACATTTTGTAGATAGGTACCACCTAGCTGTAGGTATACATATTTATTTTGGTCTTTACGTTTTTGCTAGCTTTTGGTTTTCTTCATCGCTATCAGAGAAATTCAAACAAACTAACCAAAACAGCGTCAATTAACGAAACGGATACAAGTCGCATGCAAATCAAGCAAATAAGGAGGACCGAAAGTAGGACGTCATGGGGCGTATGAGCTACGCAGACGGTGCGGCAACGGTACGAGAAGAAAAGAAACACTGTTTTGTTGAGAAAATGTGCAACCAAATGCGCGGCTTCGTCTTTTTATTATTGATTTCTTCTTTTGAGTGTGGTAATACAATTCGTACAGTTATTTTGCAAAGCCGTTTTTTTTATAAGTGAGCGTTAAGTATGCTTATGCAATGCACTTGTGTATGAATGAAACAAGGTAGATGCATGAAGCATGAAACGATAATGATGGTTAAAGGAATGACATTGCAAAGGACCTGGCCTTACAATGAACGATCTTTATTTTTATCTGATAGGTAGACTAAAAAGGAGATGTTAGATACGAAAATGGTTACGAGTGTTCAAGTTAAAGGCTATGGACTTATTTATTTAGTTTGTTGTTCCCTCTTAGAAGGGACGTCCCATGCCGCGTCCCATAGGAGCCTGCGGCATTTCGCCGCCGGCAGATTTAGGGCTCTTGATGGTCTCGTCTACCGAAAGGATCATGCAGCACGCTTCGCAGGCAGCAGTGAGGGCATTGATCTTGATTACCGATGGTTCCCAGACGAAAGCCTCAAAGTTGTCGGCGATGTGTTCTTTCAAAATGTCAACACCGTACCACTGACATCCTGTAGGAAGAGATCAATACGGTGTTTTAATACTTTACAATAAAATCATGGTCAAGCAGATGTTAATGATTGTTTATGCCGTTGACCGAAGCAATACACACAGCTCATATTGAAAATAATCTTACCTTGTGCATGCTTCTGGCGCAGTTTGTTCAAGATGTTGGTTGCATCGAAACCGGCATTATCGCAAAGTTGGCGAGGGATGATCTCAAGTGCCTTGGCGAGAGCTCCGATAAGCAGTTGCTCCTTGCCAGCGATTGTGCGCGAATAATCACGTAGCATTTTCGACAGCTCCATTTCAATCGCACCACCACCTGGAAGGGAAATAAGCAAAACAATAGGAATTGATATTTGCTGTTTTTATTTGGAAGTAATTTGGGAACTATTGTTAATATTTCCTATTTATTACGCATACGATCTCGCTTATGGAATACTAAGGAAAATATCAAAAGAAAGGGCTCACGGTGTTAAAGGAATTGTTTTCGTGAAGTATTAAGAGCATTGGTTAAACTACATGTAGGATGTATAGACCGTTGCTAGGGGAACGAAGAAGTTTATTTCCCACAGCAATAATAAGCGTTCCTAATTAAATCTAAATCCGCCAACCAACAGCTTTACTCAGGCTGGCCAGTGAATTTTCATTTGGAAATTCCCGGTTTCCCCGATTAAAATCTCAAACATTTTCCGGTTTATAATTTCAGCAAAAAAGAACAAAAATATTCAATGAACGTGACCAAGAGCAAACTTTAGATGTTATTTGTGGGAAAAGTATCTTCAATTACAGGAAACATTACCTATAACATATATAATTCAACTAAATGGCTTATTTATTTATTACGTCAAGCAAAAGTAGACTACATACTATGGTTACAATGTTTTGCTAATAGGTATGCTATATATGCATTATTTATATTATGTTTTGGTCGGTTTTTAATTTGTTCTTTTGACATACACTGAGGGTTACGATAAACATAATAATTTCATAAGGCTCAACTTATGAACGACACATATGAATTTCTTAAGACAAAACTTATGAATGATTGTCTAACATGAGGTAGGTCTAATACGCCTTTAACCATTTCATTTTCCCAAGCGTTGAAAGACGAGTGGTCAACACACAGACCCCGTAATCTCAACGTCCATGGTTCGGTTCCAGTCTGCTTCGTTTTATTTTGTTTTGTCAATATTATTTTTCATAAGAATTGATTTGCAGAAAAAAAAACATGAGATGAGATCTATGTCGAATACCAAGTTGAAACGCACGTCCTGCTTTCATGAAATAAGCACACAGAATCTAAGTAATTTCTAAGTATTTATAATAATAAATCATTGAATGAGAATTTTATTTTCCTATACTTATTTTTTTAATACACGTGATCTAAGTTAGAAGGCAAGTAAAGCGCTGTCCAGACTGAGCAGTTATAACATGTTAGTCCAAGGGATTCCAAAAGAAGTAATCAACGACGGCGGAAGAGCAGAATATGGTGATAGCTTTCCAATTATTAAAAAAAAAATATATCAAAATTAAACTAAATAGGGTTAACTACCCCATTTCTGGCCTATTAAGCACAACTCGCACTTAGTCTTTCTCAATCTAGCGCAGTTTAGCACCAAACGGAATGTTATTATTACTGATGGTTTCCAAATTGATTTACCTTTCCGTATGTACCGTAAGATTTGATAAAGAGAAACCAATCGTTGAGATATTGTCAAAAGTCTAACACTGCTTCTTGACGCCAAACTCGGCCTAACACATTGAAACGCCAATGAATTCACTTCGGCCTATCGGATGAAGATAAAAATTGATTCGGTCGGAGCGCTTCTTTTGTTTTTGGGAATAATGGGTGCAAACCTTCATATCACGCGTTCTCATTGACTTCGTTCGGAAGCTTATTAACTAAAGTATCGTACCAAACGCATAATTGACTTGTTAACTCTGAAATCATGGATTTATTTGAAGTTTTCTGCTCGATAGGCCCAAAATGGGCGATTAGGCCGAAGTAGTTCTCTACCCTACATGCCAGGTTTGAAAAAATATATTTTCGAATCTGGAAGCGTGTATGTAATACCAATATCCATTTGATAACGGTGATGCATACATGCGGGGCTTATTGTAAGTGAAAGTAACCTCGGAATGGGCGTGACTCTCCAGACATTCTGAAATGGGTTGCTGAATCTGCAATAGAGCTATCACCTTCTAACTCCCGGACAAAAGCTGTCTACAATGACCATAAATGCGACATTGTAGAGAGAGTTCTTCCATAATAACACTGCCGGCCAGTGGGGGTTAGATTGAATACACACACACATCTTTGTATCCCAGAAAATGTTTTTTTGGCTTATAGAACTTCAAGATATAAACTCCAGGAAGATTTTAAGAACTTTTAATACTGCTTTTCGCCTGTTCAGGTAAGTTGTATTGATATATCTCGATTAATTTTTCGTAGGATCGTATCAGCTTTTGTAAACAATGCATTTGATCGTCGATTTGGTGTAACTGGTAGATTGTTTTTAGTATTGATTATTTCCAGACAGATGCACAGTGTCTATATGGATAATGTATAATTTATTTCCACGTATACCAGATGATCTAGGTTCTCCACATCGTCCTGCAGTTCAGATGATTTGTTTTACTAGATCAACAAAGACTGGGATAGTATCTGTAGTATCGAAAAATCGATTTGGAAATCCTAGAACATTTGGCATACACGGAAATAGGTTGGCATGATCCACATAGACACTGCAAATTTGTTTGGACATATTTCGATACTACAGATATTGCATTAGTCTTGGGTGATCTAGTAGAGAAAAAAAATCTGATCTCCATAATGATGTCAGGACCTATGACATATTGTATACGTAGCAATAGGTCGGGAACGATCCACATAGACACTTTGAATCTGTTTGGACATATTTCGATACTACAGCAATTATTGCAGTCTTGGTTGATATAGTAGAACAAACCAACTGAACTCCAGGACGATTTGGAGAACCTAGAATATCCGGTATACATGGCAATTACTCGCATATATACGATTCGTTTATGATTTGGCAACGAAAAATGTTATGTTCATATTGGAAATAAAAAACATGAAAATGTCTCACATTAGACAGACCCAGAGTATTTCCGTGTAAATCCGGTATGACTTATGGAATTGAGATCATTTCTCGATTATTTGCAGGGTGTTTGGTTTGAACCGGTAAAAAAATAAGAGCCAAATGAACAACAAAATTGATGACAGCAAAATAATTCGAGACGGAAAGGTTACAGTGAATTCCACAATTTTTGTGACAGCACATCAGTCCCTTCGCGATTTTCGCGACATCATTTTTGCGACTGAAAGTTCACATCCGCGACAAATCCGCGAAAATCGCGAAATCCGCGTCTGTTGTAACAGCCCTGCATTTGTTTTTCAATATGGTTAACGAACATGTAACACAACTATATTAAAATTGTATGCAATATCAAGGGAAATGCCCTAAGCTACAATACGGAACCAATGTTTCTAATTCAGTCATACTTATTAATAGCAGTGGCGTCGCGTAACCTCACTTTTTACCTGTTCAACAACTTTGAAAACGTTATTTAGGGTCATGTTTACATTCAATTCACTTTCAAAAAGCATGGGATCTTCTAGTTTCACTGATTTGTATCTATTGGAACCAATATTGTTTTGTTTGTTTACGTTTTGGGAGTTGTTGAACAGGTAGATTGAGGTTAGGGTGACGCCACTGATTAATAGGTTTCTGTGATTAAGATAGGTTTTTTTTTAATATCCGTCCTACTATGCACAACCCACGTTGTATATCTTTCTTGAACGGGTTTTTAACAATAAATGAAATGTTTCTATCAAAGATTACTTCTAAATATATTCCCCTATCCATAAGTACCGTGGAATTTGATAGAGAGCCAAACATTGTTGAGATATTGTTAAAAATCTAACACTGCTTCTTGATTCCAAATTTGATAGAGAGCCAAACATTGTTGAGATATTGTTAAAAATCTAACACTGCTTCTTGATTCCAAATTTGTCCTACGAGTTTCAATTCCGTCCAAACGCATTGAAACGCCATTGGATTTTCTTTGTCCTACGGATGAAGGTAGAAAAAGCGAGTTCGTTAGGAGCGCTTCTTTTGTTTTGAGAACAATGATTGTAAATATTCACACAATACGCTCTAATAGGCTTTGTGTTGTAGCTTGTGAACTAACGCATAGGCACTAACGTATCACTGATTTGTGCACGGTGAAATCATTGATTATACTGATGTTTTCTGCTCGATAGAACGGAAATGGACCATTACGACGAAGTAGCGCTCTACCCTATTCATGTTTTTTAGGCTTTTCATGCTGTTAAACAATTTAAAAACGTTCTCATCGAGTGCAAACTCGAAAATGATAGATTGAAGATTAAAGTCGTCTTTGGTGCAGATTCCAGAGATTGGATTAATTATATCTTCTAAAATATAGTACTAATCTCTGTATCAAAATTGTGTTTAAAGCTACTTAGTAAGCAAATGAATCAATCTACCAAGCCACATGTTTCTAATAAATGTTCTTGAAAACAATTCAGCAATTTTCCAAGGCATGCTCAGCTGTCAATTTTTACTTGATTCTGCAACCAATAAAGGGCATCTATTGTCGCCGAATCTTACGTCCAATTGATGCGAAAAAAATATGATAATAACGAAATACCCAATATATTTACTAAACCCTTACTTAAGGTCAATTCTGTCTATGTGTAATTTGTCGAAAGCTAAACATTTCTTCAAAAGTTAACTCCGTATTCTTGATTGGGTTGGCTTGGTTTCGTGATCAAAGTTCAGCGTATTTACAGGAGTTGCCAAATTCGACAAAAAGCGACATTAATCCTACTACAAGGTAACCGCAAAAAAACCTTTTATAAATATAAAGTACGCATTTTTTTTTAAGGAAAACAGGACTACCTACTTATAAAATAACTAAAATTATACGTATGTATGAGTAATTCTACTACAATAATCAGTAAAAATTATTCATTCATTAGTAACAGATACTTATAAAGAATAAAAAATATACACATTTTAGGAGCAGTCGCGGGTTCTCTCGAATATGCATGGTACCTACTTTCAAGTCTAAATTGAACCCTTTATATTATTTTTTGCGTATTTCACGGTTTCCGTTTAGCCCCATTGTGATTGCAACTTTGCTAAGCCACTACATTTTTGTCGGATTTAGTAATAAAAAAGCTATTTTTAGAAGACGACCGACTTGAAAAAGTGATCTTCTACAAGCCCTACAACAATGTATTCAAGTGTCACTTGATGTATCATATTCGTTAACTCTCTTCTAGCCTACCCAAAACTCTGTACTAGTTCCCAGAGTTGAAGAACTTGTTTGAATGTGCCTTAATTTAAACGAGTTCATCCATTGTCATATGAACATGAAAGAACAAATTCAACTTACCGGCTACTACGGAATCGTTTCGAATAGTACGCCTAACGATCATAATTGCATCGTGTAGGGATCGTTCGGTCTCTTCCAAAAACTGTTCGGCTCCACCACGCAGAATCAGAGTGCACGTTTTGGCATTCGGACAACCTTGGAAGATGTTGAAACGTTCGCCTCCGATTTGACGTTCCTCAAAGTGGTCACAGTTTCCAAGCACCTTATCATCAATATCCTGAACAGTGGTCATAACAGCTCCACCGCATGCTTTCAACGTACGCTTGAGATCCTCCTCCTGAACGCGTCCAGCGCAGAACATATCCCTATCGGCAAAGTATTGCGTGGCAACATCACCAATTGGCAATTTGGACAGAACGACCTGAGCGCCGGATTTGTGAATTTTCTCCAATTTGTCGTACAGAATTTGCCATTCAGCGTCGACAATCTTCTGATATTCCTGGACATTATCCACACGAACTTCAGCATTGTCGCGCTCAGCCTTCAATTCGAGTTCGATATTCAGGAGGGCAATTTTTACATTTTCGTAGGACTTTGGTTGCATTTCGAATCCTGCGTACGAGAAGGTCTTCTTGAATGATACACCATCAATGAGCATAGATTCTTCCAAGGCACCACCGGTAACTTTCTTGATACCGATCATGTTCAGCGGAAGTAGGACATCTAACGTAGTCACGGCATCAACAACCATTTTGGAGAAGAAATCCTTCTGCTGGTGGATAAGCTTCGAATTCATCGCCGTGGCAGCACACTTCTCCAGCAACGCACGGTGCTTTTCATTGTCGTGCTTTTCAATCTTGAATGCCAGCTCGTTGATTCTAGCGACACACAGGGTCAGAGTTTTTCGCACTGCCTTAATGATAATCCTCGGATGAACACCTTCCTCAACAAATGGTTTAAGTTGCTTGAGGAATTCACCAGCCAACATCACAACACTGGTGGTTCCATCCCCAACCTCAACATCCTGAGACTTGGCGATATCGACTAACGTTTTAGCTGCCGGATGTACGATGTCCAGCAATTTCATGATCGTAGCGCCATCGTTGGAGATCGTTGCCTTACCGTTGTTTTCGACGATCAGTTTGTCCATTCCACGAGGACCTAGAGTGGTACGGACCTGAGGGGAGAAAAGATTAATTAATGAAGTATATTTCATTATTAACAATATTAATTGCAGCGAAAAACGTAGGGGAATGCGGGGTGAGAGAGCCATACGAATGGCAAGATGAATATTGTTTTTAAACCACAACTTTTGAAAGTAAATTTGGTAGAAATGTGTGTAAACCACTTCACTAGTTAATTCTTATGCTGCTTACGGAAAAACATCTGAAAAACAAATAGGGTAATTTCCGTCCTACTAAGCACAACCCGCGCTTTACCTCTCTTTTCTGAACGAGTTTGAACGAAAAATGGAATATTTCTGTCACAGATGACTTCTAAATTTATTCACCATATTGGTGATATTGGATTTGATAAAGAGTCACAAATTGTTGAGATATTGTTTTTTTTTTTTTTGTATATTAATTTATTTGATAAGGCTCAACCGAATTAACTTAACAGAGCCGAGGATTCATGGTCACTATACAATACATCTTAAAGCTATAGTCAAAAGGTACAACACAATAAACACTTTATCTTCCGCTATCCAAAAAGCCTCCTCCATCAGAACTGGAGCCGCTTCCAGTAGTTTCATTGTATGGCAAATTGTTATACGCCAACGAGGGTCAGAGCGAGTCCATTGTAGCAATGGACGCAAAACGTGGTCAGCACTCACACACTCATCACGAAACGGTTGCTTTCCAAAGTCGACGACGCATCGACCGAAAGAACTGCTGATGAAGAACAATGAGGAGGACCACACAATGGTTGCTGCCGAGAAAACAGACGATCGCGTAGCACACATCGAGAGTGGCCTGCTTTTGTCGACAGCCGAGTGAACACTGAGATATTGTTTAAAATCTAATACTGCTTCTTGATTCTAAATTCGTTCTACGAGTTTCAATTCCGTCCAAACGCATTGAAACGCCATTAGATTTTCTTCGTCCTACGGATAAACGTAGAAAAAGGGGATTCGCTAGGAGCGCTTCTTACGTTTTGAGAACCACCCGGAAAAAAATAACAATACAATTACCATAGAATAAAATACAATTACATCAAAATCTATTGCCAACAATCGATCTTATTGTACACATATTGTACAAGAAATTTTACCATATTGTCATAACAATCGATTTACAATACGTCCCATATGGTAATAATTTTCAACAATAGAACAACAATACAATTAATGGTAAATGGTTTATCTTTGTTCGGGAAAAAGTAATTTTTCCTATGGTTAAGATACATAACAACCCCCTTGTTCTATTGTAGATTTACCCATTTACCATAGATTCTATAGTGAAAACAATACATTCTATGGTTATTTTATCGTTGTAGACAATATGATTTATTGTAAATACAATAAATTCTATTGTATGGTTACAATACATTTCATTGTGCCTCTGTGGTTCTTTTTTTTACGGGCAGTGCTGTAAATTCTCAAAATCATTTGAACATTTTTGATGGAAATGAGAAAAGTAGCTATTCGCTATCAAAGGGGACCTCCTCCGAATGGGTGATATCAGTTGCTTAGTCATTTGACGAAGGCATGGATCATTCTCATTTGAGAAACGCTATATCAAGAACAACATGTGAAAAGGGCATACAAGCTTTTTGTAAACAAATCTTCTTATGCCCTTTTCTCGCCACCCATATGACACCAACGCAAACCATCAACATCACTGGGTAGGGGAAACTTGCCCCTTCCCGATGATATTGTTGGTTTGCATAAGCGACCCTCGGTTGGTGAGAAAAGGGCCCACAAAGGTTTGTTTACAAAAAGCTTGTATGCCCTTTTCACATGTGGCTCTTGATATATCATTCGATTGAGTGTAACCTATACACAAACGGAGCTCTGGTCGACATTCCGGCGAAAAAGTTAAGCCAACCCGACACCAACCTGACTTCTATCAAACCCCAACCCGATGTTGACCCGACATAAACCCAAAATTGACCCGACATTAACACGACATTGGGTCGACATCGACCTTAAATTAGCCTTACATTGATCCGACATCGGGTCGACATGTCTGTTCGGGACCATTTTCCTGGATTTCTTCCATACTCCACTGTCGTATATCAAATGATACTGATGGCGGTAAGCTCCAACTCGGATTAACTTTTAATACCGTCCCTGTTTGTATGATCTGATAAATGTTTGCTCAGAGTTATGTTGATTAACTCTGATGTCGACATCATACCAGCCGGACATTCTTGATCGGGATTTAATCCGAGGATAATACGGGTTGGAGCTTACCACCATGAGTGACTCAATTGACAGTGACAATGAGCTTCGAATGAGAAAGGGGCTCTTCAAATTATGGTCTTGTGAGAATTCGTTTACACAGAATTGATTGAATGGTTGTAGTGGTTCATCTTCAATCGAATGATATGAAAATTTACAACACTGTTGAGAACAATGAGCGTAAATATTCATACAATGCGCTAACAGGATTTATGTTGTTGCTAATGAACCAACGTTAGCCGGCGCCGGTGGTGTAGTGGTAAGCGTGACTGCTTTCTCACCCCAATGGGTCTGGGTTCAATCCCAGTCGAGGTCGGTGGGATTTTTCTGAGGCACAAAAATCTCTGGTCACGTCTTCCTTCGGAAGGGAAGTAAAGCCGTTGGTCCCGGCCCATGTGTGTTGATGAATGGGTGCGATATCCTACGCAGGTGGAAGCTGCCTTCCAGCACATTCGATTACCGTCAAATGGATGACAATCGATGTCCGTCGGTGATTGGCACTAGATTGCGGAACAGAGACCGACGTTAAATAAGGGAAAGTAATGAACCAACGCATCGAAACAAACCTTTTTTTTATTTCTGCACGGTGAAATCATTGATATTATATGATCTTTTCTGATCGATGGAACGTGTTAAGTGAAAATTCTAAACCTGTATTTTTGATTCAGTGTAGAGTAGGTCGATGTCCTATCCCTCAAGCGCAATTTTGACAGTTCCCTAACTTGATTTTCTTGTTACGCGTCTTCCGGTTGGAGCAGGGCAGCAGAGAAAGGATCAGTATATTAAAGTTACCGTAGAGTACGGATGTAAAAAACAAAAAAACTATACAGTCCATTTTTTATTTTGACCGCTGAGTTCCGTCCGAAACATTTGGTCCATTCGTCCCGGATGATGAATCGTGCGGAAAATAGTGGAATAGTAGTGATCGATCGTAAATCGGTGGAATAAAAGATTTCTGGCTCTTGAAGAAGCTGGAAAAGTGTGTTTTGAGCCAGTCATAGGGGCAGGCTGAAAAATTGTTCCATCCGATAAGCGGCCGAAGTTGAATTGAAATGGCGTCTGGGTGGTGCGGTCGATGAAAATAACGCGGTGCGCATGTGAAACGGCTTAGAAGAGCCGATTGCGTAGTGGATTTTCGCTGTGGCAGCCATCTTGAGACGGCTATTCAAAATTTATCAATTGACGAACCACGCGGTGCGATTTTGAAAGGCCTGGAAGAGCCGAAAGTTGATTTTCGTTCCGTGAATTCGTTGTGGTAGCCATTTTGAAACGGCTTCCGAGAAAATTGAGTGATCCCTGCTGAAAAGGGAAGAAGAAAAAGTGTCGCACGGAAATTTAGCTTGTTGGAAAGTGCCATGCGACTAGTGATTGACAATTCGACACCGGTGATCCGGTGATTGAGTGAAGCATAGAAAACGAAAACAAAAAAAGAATAAGGAAGTTTTTAGTGGTATGCAGCTGCGTTCCGGGAAATTGAAGAAGCTTTTGTTCTCCTCGCCCGTTGCCTCTCCACTTGGTTCTCCTTTGTTTTTCACTCCCAGAGGGGCAGTTCCGACACCGATCCGTAGTGTGCGCGAGCAAAAAGAAGAAAAAGAAGCTCGGCTACGAGAAATCATTATGGCTGATACGGTGGCTGCTTTGGACGAGTGTTTGACGTCAACCCGAGGTAAGGTTGATAGAATACGACAAGCTATTGATGCTGCCGATGCTGATCACGGTAAGTTTAACATTCATGCCCTTAAACTATATGTTAAAACCGTGGACACAGCATATGATGATTTCAACGGATTCCTCAATCGGATCTACCTAGTTGATCCGACGAAAAGGGAAACGTTTGAGCCCAAGTTTATAGATTTCGAGGAGCTGTATCAGTTTGTGCGTATTTCTTTGTCGGAAATGATACAGCAGCATGAAGATGAGCAAAAATCTGTAGCTGATCTAGTCGCGGCTAAACAACTGAAAAGTGCAAAGGCTAACTCTATTAGCAGACTTGGCGGCAGTGGAACGACAGCTCCAGTTCAATTATTGCCATCTCTTTTACTCCAACAAACTCCGCTACCAACCTTTGATGGTAGCTATGAAACCTGGTATAAGTTTAGAGATCGGTTCACAGATGTAGTGAACAAATGCACCGGGATTCTCCTGCCACGAAGTTGCACTTTCTCGACAAGGCTCTAATAGGGAAAGCTAAAGGAGCCATTGATCAACAGACGTTGAACGATAATAACTATGAGGGAGCTTGGAGAATACTCGCAAAAAGGTTCGAGAATTTGCGCATGGTCGTCCAAGCTCATATTGGACAGTTGCTATCGTTAAAGTCGATGGTTAAGGGTTCTCATGCAGAACTGACAAGTTTGCTTGATGTCGTTGAAAAGCGACTGGAATCACTCGAGTTCCACAATCTGAAAATGCATGACAAATTATCAGAGGCATTGATTGTAAACTTGGTTATTTCCAAGCTCGATATTGACACTCGCAAGGCTTGGGAAGCGACAGTAGAGCATGGTGAGCTGCCAGAGTACAGAAAAACCATGGATTTTCTTCGACAGCATTGTTATATGCTAGAGCGGTGTGAACAGTCGTTGGGACAAGGAAAAACAAAGAATGTCGCGCTTAATCCTCGGATTCCTGCTGTCACCAACAAGGTGCACACAGCTACAGTTCATCAAGAAACCTGTTGTCTGGTGTGCAATGCCGATCACCTGATCGAGATGTGCGACACGTTCAAAGGGTTGAATGTCAACAATCGATACACGAAAGCGAAACAAATTGGA